CCTGCCTGACTTTCTAGGCCAGCTCGAGCCACTAAGTCCAGGTTTAATTCTTACTGTCCTGTTGTGGGCAGAGCATCTGGCATCAGAATGCCTGGAGTGGCTGTCGGTCGCCATGGGAGGGAATTCCCTGGCTGAGGAAAACTCTTCCAGAGGGAAAGAGCAGGTGGCAGTCTCCCCACAAGACAGATGCCGCCCACGATGTAAGCAGAGCCAATCCTGGGGTGAGAAGCATCAAATCTGACAACACACACATATACACACACACACATATACACACACACACACCCTTCTGTCTGATGCTTGTCTACACTAGGCATACTAGCCCGTGCCTCATAATAGCTACCACGTGGCAGACTGTATTCCAAACACTTCACCCAGATACCTAATTTAATTCTCACAGCATCTCTGAGGTAGGTATTGTCATTAGCCCCATTATATAGATGAGGCATTGATAAATAATTTGCCTAAGGGCTCAGTCCCTCAGTGACATACTGGGATGTGTCCTCAGTTAATAGGCCGTTGTGTGCTATGTTAATCTGCCACTGGATGATAGTATTCCCCTAAAATAGCACATCTGCACTTGGAACCTGGCAAAATACATATAGTATCTCATAATCCAAACACTTGGACAGATTTGCTGAGGATGAGGACCATATAGGCAATACTGTTTAACCCTCTCATAAGATGGAGTAATTTTTTTTTCTTTGAAACACAAGTCTCCTGTATTCCAGGCTATCCTCAAGCTTGATATTCAGCCAAAGATAACCTTGAACATCTGGTACTTCTACCTCTACTTCCCAACTGTTGGGATTACATGCATGTACCAGCATACATAATTTATTCCATACTGAGAATTGAGCCCAGGACCTTCTACATGCTAGGCAAGCACCCTACCTACTATACTGAGTTACATCCCATTCCAGTGCAATAATTTGACTTGGGAAGAGTGGCAGTGGCTGACACTGGAAAATAGCTCTTGTTATGTGAATGAATGCCCTTGACTTCCTTGGGGTCCTTTCCATCTCTAAAATAGGTTACCCATCCTCCTCCATATAAAAATGTGGTGGTGTTGAGTCAGTGTGTGTCGGTACTAGTTTGCTGGGGCGTAAGGAGTTGTTTATAAGCACACCCAGCTGGCTCCTAACAACAGCTGTCATAATAATAGCTAACGTTTTCTGGATGCTTAGGGGGCACCAGACACAACTCTGAAGGCTTTGATGTGTTCACCCACTGATTCTCTCAACTTCCATTATCTTGATGTTAAGGATGGAGTTAAGTAACTTGCCTGAGATCATAGACTTAGTAAGAAGCAGGGATGCCAGATGGCCCTGCTCCTGTATTCTGGTGTTAACTACTCCATCTGAGTTGCTAGATGCACCCAGCTTCCTCCTCATGGAAACTAGGCCCCAAGTTTAATTGAGCAAATGGGGACGGTACCTGTAGTGTTCAGGAGCCCCCAATGTCCCAATGTAGACAGACAGGCAAGGTCTGAATCTGAGAAATTCCAAAACACAGTGCTATGTGAGTTCCCAGTGAGGAAAGACTAACTCTATGTAAAGGAAGGGACTCAAGAGGTTGCATTGAAAGTAGGCCTTGATGCCTGAGATCATGGTACTCAAAACAGAGGAGCGGTGAAAGCAAAATGCTAGGCTAGATGGGCCTGAGCCAGCAGGACAGTCCTAACTAGTAAACTCTTTACAGGTCTCCTTCTTGGCTGTTTAGCCTAAAACTTAAAAAGCACTGCCTCTTGAAGCCAGACATGGGAGTAGATACCTGTCTAGGGCTTAGGGGGTGGATGAAAGAGGGTCAGTATAGCTAGTCTTTGCTACTTTTGGGTTCTTCTTTTTCCCACCCTTTATTCCCACTGTTAATCCCCCTGACTCCCCATTCACTAGATAGTAGAGAAAAAAAGAGAAGGGGAGGGACTCCTGAATCTAATTTCTTTCTTTTGTTTCTTCTTTGAGCATGACTACTAACAAAACTGCAACCAACCCCCTTGGATTGAGGTGCTAGCATTTATATACCCTCTAAAAAGTGCCCAGAATTACAAGTGTCACACAGTCACAGAAACTATCTGCAGCTGGCAAAATCACACCTCTGCTAGAACATTAGGGTTATCGTAGTCAGCTGCTGCAGACAGTCTGAAACAGCCCCATATCCCCATACCTGGGATTAAAACAAAAACATGTTCTTATAACATTTTTGTATTTTTTAAGGAAACCAAATTCCAGAGTTCTCACTACAGATCAGGAAATCAAAGTCATCCTCAGCTATGTGGTATATTTGAGACCAGCCTGAATTACTTAAGATTCTGTCAGGATTTGGGGAGTGTGATAGCACATGCCTGTAACTCCAGCCATCAAGAGGCAGGGGCAAGAGGCTCACCATAAGTTCAAGGCCAGCCTAACCTACATAGTGAGTTCCAGATCCTGAATTCAAAGCCATTCTGAGATACACAGTGAGACCCAACTCAAAGAAAACAGAACAGAACAAACAATGACTCTTTATGGTACTTAATTCACTGTGTTATAGGAACATGTTCTGGCTGCCTTTCCTGTGTTATCAGTGCCTCCCCCTCCCCAAGCCCAGGGGCTTCTATAACATAAAACTATCCATAAAACTAATGACAGTGTACCTAGAAGGCATGCTGGATGGATGGATTAGAAGGCCTGACACTTGGAAGTTGACCAAGGGAGGAACAGATAGAACTCTAAACATGGACACCCAAGTCATAGAAACAGGCCCAGTTCAACAGGTTAAAGGGAGGGTGTGCCTGGAGGCTGGACTACACAGCCAGGTCCTTTACTCCTATGTAGCCTTTTCTCCTTGTCTGCTGCACAGGGACTGTGACCTTCAGTAACTCCTCTCAGAAGTAGCTTGTGAGTGGGTGGCCTATAAGAAGAGGACACTATGGGTCAGAAGGATAAGACACTGGGCTGGAGAGTTGGCTCAGTGATTAAGAGCACTGGCTGTTTTTCCAGAGGACTTAGGTTCAATTCCCAGAATCCATATGGTGGCTCACAACCATCTGTAATTCCAGTTCCACCTCATACACTAAGCACACAAGTAGTGCACAAACACACATGCAGGCAAAACACCCATACATAAAATATTTTCATAAACTGCACAGGGTCTGCACAAATCTAAGCTGGATGGGGTCCTAGCATTGAGAGGGGAAAATAAGCACAGTTTCTATCCAAAACCCAGAAATTCCCTCTGACTGATAACCACTCACTAAAGAAAAATTAGTTTTCTCCAATGGACTCTCCATAGGTATATAAACCACACTTAATAGCAGGCCCCATGCCCAGCAGTAGATGGCCAACACAAAATACTCAATGGTGTTTTTGGAAGTTTTTGGCTCATAATGCTTTGGGCAGTTTTTTTTTTTTACCTTATAGGTCTTTTGTTTATATATTATGTTTCCAATTCCCTGACTTTATGGGATTTCTGTGTGTGCAAATATGTGGGTCCCTAAGTCTATATGTGTTCCATGTGCTTTTTCTTTGAATTTTTATTTTGTCCTATTCTGGTTTCTTTCTCTCTCTCTCTCTCTCTCACTCTCACTCTCACTCTCACTCTCACTCTCTCTCTTTCTTTCTTTCTTTCTTTCTTTCTTTCTTTCTTTCTTTCTTTCTTTGTTTATTATTTTGAGGGACAGGTTCAAGACAGGGCTTCTCTGTGTAGCCTTGACTGGCCTGAAACTCCCTCTGTAGATCAGGCTGACCTCAAACTCACAGAGATCTGCCTGCCTCTGCCTCCTGACTACTGGGATTAAAGGCATGTACTACCACTGCCTGGCCATTATTATTTTTTAGGTACCTGTTTGTTTTGTAGTGAGAGAGAAAGAAAGGGTGTGAATTTGGGTAAATGGGGAGATTATGAAATGACACCTAGGGCTGGGCCACACTAACACCCATGCCCTTCCTCTCTGCACTCTGAGCATTTTAGTTTGGGGTCTTAGCTACAGCTTAAGTCAACTGTTTTCAGGTTGGCTGGTCTGATTTATGACCCCTGCTTCTTTTGCTTTGTGGTCGTGAGTATACACACAAGACACTGGAACCTCTCAAACACCCTCTCACAGCCCCTCGCTCCAGTGTGTTCATTGTACCCAACACTGGCCCTTGGTGCCAGTGTGGCCCTCAGAGCTCAGTGTCTGTAGATGTTGGTATAGACAGGAGAACTAAATGGCTGTTGCAAGACTCTAGTTTGGGTTTGTTTGTTTGTTTGTTTTATTTTATTTTATTTTGTTTTCATTTCTGGGGATCAAACCCATAGCCTTGTGCTTGTTAGGCAAGTGCTCTATAACTGAACTGTGCCTCCAGCCATAGTCTTGAGTTCTTTGGCATCAAGGGCCACAGTGCTTCCTAAGACTTTCTTCTCTGGGACAGCAGAAAAATCTTCTCTTAGTCAATGCTGATCCCTGGAAAGTGACTGCAGCAAGGCCCCAGGACACTCCACCTAAGCAACAATCTTTCAGGTATATTTGGAGGTAACTCTCTCTACTCAACTGTCTATCCCTATCCTGTGTCTCAGGAGGCCAACTCCTAGAGGCTCTCCAGGCCTCTTTGCCAGCTTCCATTTGGGTTGGTTGGAACAATGAGGGGGCTTGAGGATCAGAACAGAGAGGGGTTGTCATGTTTTCCCACTGCTTCCTGTTGGGTCACCATCCCACTGGGCATAATTGCCTCTTCCTAGGTTCCAGTAATAGGATTACTGAGCCCTTCCAGGCCTGAGGTAAGAGTTTCCACAGTTGCTTGAAGGGAAGCTCCAAGGCCTGACACTACTAATGATGCTATGCTGTGTTTACAGACAGGAGCCTAGCATGGCTGTCCTCTGAGAGGCTCAACAAGCAGCTGACTGAGACAGATGCAGATACTTAAACCCAACCAATGGACTGAAGTTGGGGACTGCTGTGGTTGAATTAGCGAAAGGCTGGAAGAAGCTGAGGAGGAAGGCGAGCCCATAGGAAGACAAGCAGTCTCAACTAACCCAAACCCCTGAGATCTTTCAGACACTGAGCCACCAACCAGGAAGCATACACTAGCAGGTACAGCGCCCCCCTCCCACATATACAGCAGAAGACTGCCTGGTCTGGCCTCAGTAAGAGAAGACTCACCTAGCCCTGAAGAGACTTGAGGCCCCAGGGAGTAGGGAGGCCTGGCTGGAGGGTTGTTGGGGTGGAGAGGGGCATCTTCTTGGAGACAGAGGGGAGGAGAAATGGGATGTAGAACTGTGGGAGGAGCGAGCAGGAGGGAGAGAGGTAATGACTGGACTGTAAATATATATATATATCTCCCCACAGTTACTAGTCTCCAGATGATGACTTACCCACTTGACTATCCCTTTAGCCTATACACACTTCAGTATGCTTATTTCTTCACTGAAGTCTCTTGCAGGCAGACCCAAGATTCTCCACCTGAGTCTGCCATTTAGATCAGCCACGTCAAGACTTTCCTCAGAATGCTAGGCCAACTGAGCAGCCCTGCCACCAGTCCTACTTCAGGACAATCATACAAAGGGCTAGCATTTCTAGGGAACTGCAAGGTCTGATTCTGATTTATCTGTCACTTGAAAAACCTCTGTGGGCAGAGTCAATGAGTTGGAGCACTGTGGCAAGGGGACAGCTGCTGATGGGACACAAGGCACAGAACAAAGTGTGCCTCCAGGCAGAGCTCGTCATTCACCTGCTGAAGCAACTGAGCAGGAAGCACAGGAAACCAAGGACCAGGAGCTTCAGGCAGGCTCTCTAGGGTCTGGCCAGGCCTGGCAGAAACCCCAGGGTGCTGGAAATGTGGCAAGGGACACTCATATCAGAAGAAAGAGCAAAGGATTGACAGAAGGAAATGAGACACTGAGGGCAAGGATATGATGCTTCTCATTGCCCCTTGGCTTTCCTCAAAGTATAGCCCCTCACCATATCCCACTGTGGAAAGGGACTCCTGGCCAGAGACAGGCCTCCAACACCCTCACAAGCTGTCCTTCACTCTCACAAGCTGTCCTTCTCCCTCACAAGCTGTCCTCCCTCAAAGCCAGGCTGCCAGTCACTCAGCCCCTTTCACTTCCCTTGCTAACCACACCTGCCCAGACCAAAGCCACAGAAGCGCCTACATTTCAATTTTCATTTCCTCCGCACCTTTGTGTTTCATTTTCTCAACAGGGGTGGGGCCTGACACCCTTGCTCTCTTGTCAGGGCCTCTTTGCAGTTAGTTACTCCTGCCTGACCTCAACCACACACTCTGTCCTCTGCCTTCCTAGCTGCTAAGATCAGACTGTCTGCCCTTGGGCTCCTCTGCTTAAATGCACCCCATTTTTTCCAAATTAAGCCAAACATTATGGGGATTTTTTTTGTTTTTGTCCACTTTTTTTTTCAATAACTTATTCAAAATATCCCAGATAAATAACTGTTAATTCTCATTTTCTTTTTTTATTTATCCTGACTTATTTGAAAGCAATATAACATATAACTGTCTATACTGTTATCAACTATACACAGCCAATCAGATTATTCTTTTTTTCATTTTGTTTTGGATTTGTTTTGTGGTTTTTTACAAGAAGAACTCACATAGCCCAGGTTGGCTTCCAACTCACTATGTAACCAAAAACGACTTTGAACTCCTAATCCTCCTGCCTCTACCTCCCAAGTGTGTATGGGACCATCACACCTATACTTTGAACCTTCATTGAATATTTGAAGTCTATTCTTCAAATAGTTTTTGGTGGTGTATTTCAAGTATCTTTTAGAATAAGGCACCTGCTATGATCTAGTTACAACTTTTCAAAGGCTGCAAAAACTTCCACCTAAGTTCCAGGATTTTCCATTTATTTTGATTCTCTCTTAACAGATTTGCTTGAAATTGGTAGATAATTCCCTCATCTACAGGAAGAGATGCAGTCAAGGATGAATTTTAGAGTGCTCCTTCCTGCCCATTCTAGTACCCACTCTTCACTGTAAACTTTGTCATGGGTGCCAGAGTGGCAGCTAAGGGCAAGCTCACCGGCCACCCTAGGCATCCTCACCTCTCAAGTACATTTGTTGCAGCAATCACACTGTATGTATCCATTGTCCAACAATTCACCAGGCTGCCATAGCAACTTCACACTTTTTAAATAACTTCTGCATATGCTGTTCCCTTTGCCTTCAGCACCTTTCCCTCTTTTCTCTGTAGGCTAAGCTCCCATTTCCCCTTTAAATGCCAATTCAGAGTCATCCTTATTAATTAACAATTTGCTCATACCTAGGTGCTATTGCCCATCTTTGGATCCCAGCACTAATATAGAAGCAGGCAGATCTCTGAGTTTAAGGCCAGCCAGAGCTACATAGTAAAACTGTCTCAGAAACTAAAATAATAAGACTTCTTTGTTATCTTTAGCTGTGTTGTGTTTTGTTCTTCTTTGAGACAAGGTCTCATTCTGAGGGCCACTCTAACCTGGAACTCACACTGCAGCCCAGGCTGGATTCACACTCACAACCTACCCTTTGACTGAACCCTGTGGGTGCTGGGTTACAGGTGTGAGCCACCAGACTTGTCAAGGCCACTGCTTCTGTGAGAGTGTCCTCCTTTCCCTAACTCAGAATTTGTCCTCCCAGGTCTAACCTTATTCAGATTTTGGTGGCAGCACCAAGCATATGCTTCTCTTTGGCTACATCCTCTTCTCAGTTCCTCTTTCTTTTCAAACTTAGGTCCCACCTGAGCAACTGATTAGGAAGCCAGCCTGGGCTGCAGTGTGAGTTCCAGGTTAGTGTGGCCCTCAGAATGAGACCTTGTCTCAAAACAGAACAAAACACAACAAAAACAAAAGCTAACAAAGAAGTCTTATTATTTTAGTTTCTGAGACAGTTTTACTATGTAGCTCTGGCTGGCCTTAAACTCAGAGACTATGTGACCTTAAGCAAGTCACTGCACTGTCCCTAGACCTCCCCCTCGAGGACCCGTTCCCAGTTCACATATCAAAAACCATGATTATTCCATCTCCCCCTAATGATCCTCCACAGTGCTGAGTCCACTGCCAGCAAGGTCACAGGGGCCAGACTCCTTATAAACAAATTGCTTCTTGTAGTCCCATTGCCCCCCATTCCAGAAATCCTTACTGCAGAGGTGAACTTAGCCAAGCCCCATTTCTTAAAATAGAAGTGCCTGAGCTCAGCAAAGCATTGAGATTTTCCCGTCATGAACCTATTTCATAGCTTTTTCCTTTATCATCCTCCTGAATCCTTGAGCCAACCTACTTTCCAAAGATAACCCCTGGCCAGGACTGAGACCAGACAGCAAGCCTGCACCAGGCCTTCACCTCACCTGTTGCTGCCCCGTGAACTTTCAGGGCCAAAGCTGCAGATGCCTGACAGTTTTACTTCCCTCCTGGGTGCAGAGACTACAAAAGAGAAATTGTCAGAGCTCAGGCACTTCCGTTTCCCTCTGAACCAGGCTTCCTTTCCATCTCTTCTCTAGGCAGCAAGCAAGCTATGGGCCTCTGCGTGTGCCAGCTCCCAGATGGTCTTGTTCCTCTTGGAGGCTCAGGCCAGTCAACATCAGTTCTGGACTCCCTAAGGACAAGAGAAAACATTGTGTGCTAGAGGCAGGAAGCCTATTTGCCTCAATCTCTGGAGAGCAGGGTCTTGACCTTGATGAAAGTTTGGTTCACCTGTATAGCTGGGGACAGAAGAAACACCCAGAAAATCATGAGCCCCCTAGTCCTGACGGAACCTGTTCATTTTAAAGATGGAGAGATCCTGGCTTAGAAAGAGATTGGCTCAGATGGAATGGCAGTGATGTTCCCCGGACATTTATAGCGAAGCCTGATCTTAAATACGTGATCTCAAACAACAATCCTCTGAAAGTGCTTTTGCGTATGTTAAGGTGCACTGAGAGAGACACAGAGAGAAGGGGTGTGTGTTCTCGTTGTCTTTATAGTGCTAGAGTTAAACCTGGGCCCTCACAGATGCTCAGCTATGTTAAAGTAACTCTCTACCACCAAGATGCACCAGCCTACATTTTTTATTGTTTTCGGACAGGGTTTCACTATTTTTACAGACTGGTCTCAAACTCATGGGCTCATGCACAGCATAATTGTTTTATTTTTCTGTTTTCCTTTTACCAGGGAGGCAGGAGCCCTGATGCTGCCCTGTTGCACACCTCTCTGCCTCCCTGCAGCAGCTCCATGACACCGGCTGCTAGTTAAACCAATTAACCTTTAAAATGTTCTGAAACTAATTACCAAGGCTTCGCCACAGAAGACGAAAATGTAACATAGCATGAGTGGGTTCCCACCTAGGCTGAGGAACATCGTTGGGATATCTAGAAGCCTTTTGTGCTTGGGGACTAGGTTCTTCAGCAGAAAAGAGTCCAGACACAAGGACTACTTTTGACCAGTTCTCCTCACCAGCACACAGTTAATACACACACACACCTGTGAGGTGCCACTGGCAGGAGGATGGTAGCTGACTTACCCATTTCTCTAGCTCATTTTTCTTTATAACTTATCATCCCCAAGGATAGGGAAGGCATTAAAGATTAGGCAGTCTCGACAGTGGATGTGGCTCAGTTGACAGAACGCTTGCTTAACATGAACAAAGCTCTGGGTTCAATTCCCAACACTGCATAAAGGAGGAAAGGATGGGCACTTTGTAATCTCAGTACTCTGGAGATGGAATCAGGGGGATCAGAAGTCCAAGGTCATCCCTTGGCTACATACCTAATTGGATGGACCAGCTAGAGATCCTGTCAAAATACAATATGTACATGCACGCGCGCGCACACACACACAATGGGGGGTGGGGTGGGGTACAGCCCCGCCTCCTCTAGATCCTTTATTGGACTACCACTAGAGGCGTACAGTATTTACTCTCTGAAATCCAACGGGCTCTTAGCTTTGGAAAACTCACCATCAAAGAAGAGAACGAGATTTGTAAAGTACCCTACAGAGACAGATATGGTGGTTCATGCGTACAACCCCAGTGCTCTCAAGGTTGTGCCTGTAAGAGGCTACAAGATTTCCATGAGTTCAAAGCCAGTCTGAGCTACATAATGAGTTCTAAACTAGTTTTGACTACAGGGTAAGACCCTGTCAAAAGAATTAAGTGGCACCTCCCAGCTCTTAGGAGGTACTGGCAGGCTTATCTCTGTGAGTTCCAGGCCAACCTGGTCTACATAATGACTTTCAAGACAGCCAGGACTACAGAGTAAGACCCTGTCTCAAAAAACAAAATAAAATAAATAAAACCTACAGAAGTGCATATGATAAGTGAGGTCTCTTGGCGAAGCAGATGAGATCCATGCCTGGGATCTTGGAACATTAGCTCACCAAGTGGATAAGTGGGGGAGGGATAAGGAGTATCCCAACTTGCCAGTTAATGCAACCTGTTCTGATTCAGGCAGCCTGATTTCTACACAATTCTTTGTCTTTCCCTCAGGTTTTATCAGCTAACTTTGTTAGTCAGCAAACTCTCCTGGGTATTCTATGAAGAGCCTGTAGTTGGTCCTGGAGCTACCTGGCTTTCCTCTCCCCTCCTGATAGAGGACTGATGCATAGAAAGGCAGTGACTATCTAGTGTGGACTGTGGCACTTGTGTGCAGCTCAGAAAACAGCTTTGTGGAGTCGGTTATGTTCTTCCACTTTCTTGTGGGTCCAGGGGATTGGACTTGGGTCCTCAGTTTTGACATCAAGTGCCTTTTACTGGCTGAGCCATCATACCAGCCTCATGGAGGTCTTTCTGTAGGCAATGTCTATGACCTAAGATACATCTCCTTTCAACTACATCAAATAACTCATTTACTGGCCATGTTGGGTACCAAATGCTAGGGTTTTCACATGCTAGGCAAGTATCCTACCACTGAGCCATTGTATTTTTAACAGTTTTGTTTAACATTGTTTTGTTCTGCCTTACAATGTTGCTTTTTGGATTGCAGCTTAAACCTAGGAACTCTGAAACATGCCAGGCAAGTTCCCTACCACAGGGCTACATCCCCAGAATGATTCTCCACTCTTTAAAATTAATTGTTTTATTAATTATGTTTTGAGACAGAGTCTCACTATTTAGTCCTGGTGGGCCTTGGCAATCACAATGCAAACCAGTCTGTCCCCAAACTTGTAGAGATCTGCCTACCTCTGTCTCTTTAGTGCTGGAACTCAGGGCATAAGCCACCATACCCAGCTTTTTTATTCTTGTTTTTTGAAACAGAGTCTTGTTTTATAACACTGGCTGACCTGTTACCTGCTATGTATCCCAGGGTAACCTCAAATTCACCACATACCTCCTTCCTCAGCCTTCCCAGTGCTGTGAAAATAGATGTGTACTACAATGCCTGGTTCATTTCTCCAATTTAGAGGTAATGAAACTGCAACTCCCCAAAAGCCAATGCCTTCCTTACTCAAGGTCATGTAGTGAATTAGGAGCAGTTGTTCACCCCTGGCATCTGGAGCCAGAGGCAAAACTGATACCATTTGTAGAACTGGGCTGGGGCAGGGGTGTTGCTGGAGAGGGATGTTTAGAATCAAAAAGGAAAGAAAAGCTAAGACCGTAGAGCAGGATGCAATCAGGAGGGTGTGCCCTTCTCCCACACCATGGAGCAGAAGAGGATAGGAACTCCCAGCAGAGTGGGTGTCAGCTCATTGATTCAGGATGGCAAGAACTGATGAAGGTACAGTGTCATGGCAGCTGACCCAGGGTTGGAATGCAAATCTTCTATCTCCCAGTGGAGCCCTGTCCACTAATCTCCACTCACTGATGTGACCTCTGGGTGAGATACCCTTCAAGTGTCTTGGAGACTCAGGGTTCTTCTGGTCTCTGCTGTTAGAAGCTTCCAACTGATAAACTAGGCAGTCATACTGAACTCAAAGCCCAGGTCTACAGGCACCATACAGAAGAGAGGCACCAGCAGGTGTGGCCTGGGTGCTGGGGAGTGGGTAGGGAGGGCCTTGGACAGGTCTTTGGACATTAGTTTTCTCATCTTTCCCAAGGAAGACCTGGAGTCAGCAGTCTATGGGGTCTGGCCTCCTTTGCTTTGCAAGGGTAGGAAGGTGGGGCTGGTGGGTGGGAGGCAGAGGAAGTGGCTTGAGCCACCCTAGGCTGCCCATGTCTGTCTGGGCTGACCCATTACAGGCAGGAAAATCACAGACTCAGCGCTCAGACATCTGGGAGGCTCTGGGCAGCCTGGGTATTTTTAGAAGGCCAGACATGCCCAGAATCCTGGGCGTTGCTGAGCCAGAAAAGCAAGGAGGACAGCAGAAAACAAACCAAAAGAAGTGTCCTGAGCCCTGCTTTCTTCGCTGAGATCAGCTGGCCCAGCCTTTCCCAAGACCCCTGCTCAGGCCTACTATATGCAAGCTTGTCTCCTTGATTTTCACTGGATTTGCTTTTCTGGGGGGTATTCAAGTGTAGACTATGACTGTCCAGGGTTCTTGCTCTTCACTGATTTGCTTGGGCAGCTATTTGGTACCTTCTCTGGTTCAGATGAACTGCTGGACCCCAGGGACATATAAATGAAAGGAGTTATCTTCTAATCGTTTGTGGGTAATGGTGAAATGAAAATGCCAGTGTCCTGAGGTCAGTGTGGGAAAGAAGGAAGTTGTATCTGGAGGAACTCTCAGGACTTCCACAAGAATCAGATAATAATCTAGAGGGGAAAATACCAACTTCCAGCTGAGGGGCAACCCCTGGGCTAAAACTGTGGAGTCCTTTTCAGTCCTTTCAGGCCCAAGCCTTTTTCTCTATATTATGTTGTTCCTGAAACAGGGCATTTCAGAGGTGGGGTAGCCAAGTGTGGTGGTACTAGCCTGCAATCCGAACACCTGGGAGGCTGAAGCAGGAACACCAAGTTCGAGGCTACCCTGAGCTACAGAGTTAGTTGAAGGTAAACCTAAGCAACGTAATGAGACCCTGTCTCAAGAGAAGGGGGAATGAATAGTGAAATAAAGGGTAACGTGGCCCCTTTCCACATTTATCTACCAGAAAACATGTCTAGTTTGCAGTGGTAACTGGAAAGAAAGGTTGTCCCTGTACCCTTCCCTTAATTTTATCCCCTTAAGCTCCTCCAGGTAAGTCCACTCCATCATAATACAGACAAGAAGCCCCTATAAGGGGCTTCTCTAGCCCAGGTGGACTCTAGGCTATCTGGAATCTGCAGGTTCGGTTCCCATGTGATCAAAAGTACAGGAAGGATATATCCAGGCTTGTATATCCAAGAGAGAGAACTGCGGTGTTGGATGGGCAAAGGACAGGGATGCACTCCCCACCCCACCCCTGCCACAGTTCTGTAGCACAACTGCATCTTCAGTTTAGACCTGAATTGTGCCTGGGTCTCTTCTCTCTCCTTCCTACCTAGGATTTTTCAGACATCTCACTAGCTAAAGTTCCCTGCCTTATTCGTGATATCTGTGACTTTTCTACCTGAATTATTAAATTTGCTACTTGTACTATAATGAAGATCTAAGCAAATTAATAAAACATTCTGGCTAAATGCAGAGTGTCTTACCAAGAAGGTTCTTTTTTGTCAATACCCATGTCCAGCCTTATCAGCAAACTGGGACCATCTCCTAAGGTGACTGCCCGGCAGCATTTCACATTGAAACTTATCAAGTTTGAGCCTTTCTGCTCTAGCCAAACTGATTGCTTTTTCCCTACAAGGTCCTGCTACGAGGTCTGTTCCCAACTCACTGAACAACCTTTGAGTCTCTCAGTCTGGGTCTGAGATTCTTCACTGTAAAATAGAAAATTGAGTTAGACAAAACCTATAGCCTCTTCTTGTTCCAATACACTGGAATTACAAATTGTAATCCACATGCTCCTTGGATCCCCTGGCTGACCTGGGTGCTGTCGCGGGGACTAAAG